TACACATACACATAGGTCCTTGACAATATGCGTTTTTGCACTTCATTAACACACAAACACTGTTAAAAAAGACGAAAAAACATTACTGTTGTGGAGGAACTCATGGATTTCTTCCCTGGTCAGTGCTCGTTCCACTGGCGTACCGGTGCAAACCATTTTCAAGAAGCAGTTCTCACCGCTCTTGTTTTTCCGCAACTTTCGAAACGCCCAGATGAGGCTAAGTAGACTAACCAACACCAAATATATTGATAGTTCCATTTCAACAATAAAATCAAATTTTCAGGATCTTAAAAAACAGAAAACAGCATGTCGAATGATGTAATGCAATTGTGTCGCATAAAAAAAAATTCCTTAAATTCAGCGAAAACAAAAGTAGACAAACGAATAAAAAAATGCTTGGTCCTTTATTAGATCAGAGCAGAGTTATAAATTTTATTCAAGGAACAGCTATTAGCTAATAGAGATGTAGCGTAAATTTTGCCATAACAAAAATCTGAAATCCAAAAAAAGGCAGAATGAAAAGAACTGATTGAAAATATGGAGATTTTTTAAGGGAAAACGAACTTTTTGAAGCGAAAAATAGCGCTCCCTTTTTGGGCTGGCTAATTCGAGAGAAAATGTAAGTAAAAGGAGGTCATATTTCCTTCTCTTCGGCTCATGAGGTATCAAATTAATGAGGGTGAAGTGGGTTGAAATTAAGCCAAAATCTACCTGCTTCCAGTTTCTTAGAAAGCAAAAACACACATCACTTTGGCAGTGTCGTGCAATGAGCGAGAAGACGAGCTTAGGTTATAAAATCGGAGAAGGAAATCGGTTAAAGGTTAAGTGTAATAGTACGAAAGAAAATTAAATGGAACAAATTTCCGGTTCATTTTGTTTCTTCGCTCTTTCGACTGTTTTGCGGCAGTACTTGAATCAGAGAACATCCAGAAAACCCAACAACAGTTGCTGTACTTTGCCGCAAGCATATACCCCCCTCCTTTTCTCCCTTGTAACATATAATCTCTGAATTTAGCCTTTTTGTATCGTTCTTTCTGGGACATTCTAAGTACAGAGG